AAAGCCAGGTGCTTTCTGGAATAAATGCTGCCTACATTGCTGCAAACCTTTGTCTAATTCCCAGAGTTCTGGAAACATTGATTCTGACTGGTTCTATTCTGCTGTCATTGCTTGTGTGGAAGACACCACTCAGAAGTCTTACTGGGCCACTTGGCTGATGTTACTTATTTTCAGCCATGTTTTTAAAAACAACAGAAAGGGAACCTACTGACTTCCAAGATCCACCTCACTCTAGAACAGTCTGTGTTCACTAATGTATCTCATTCCGAGTGCATACTGGGTAATACAATTTACTGGGCCTTTTAAAAGCTAAACTTGATGCTGAAAAATATCAACACTGACTTCCCATAATGCCAAAATATGAAACCCAACAAATTGTACCTAACCAACCTCTGTTCTGCTTTACCTGCATATTTGAAGTAGAAATATTACTTCTTCTATGAGATTTCTGCCTAAAATGAATTATTTTAAAGTGAAGAGAGACTTGATACAAACAGGAAAAATATATAGGCAAAATATAAGTATCAGAGACTATTGAAATGGTAAAAATAAAATGATTGATGTATTTCAAAGGGTTGAGCCACCAGCATGGATATTTTCCGAACGCTTTGCTCTTTAAATACTTCATTAACTGTAGTCACCATGTTACATAATAGATCTTTTGAACTTAACTTTCCCATTTAATTGAAAATTTTGATCCTTCAATGATCCCTTTTCATTCTAAAACGTATTATTAACTAAATATTAAAATGTCCATACTAATTTTTCTTATGCATTGAAGACTCATATTTATACCTCAATACTGCAAACAGGAAAAAAAAATCAGCCCACATCACCCAAGGCTGTTTTATGTTCACTTCCTGAGAAACTTGTAGAATATGACACATATTTTTCAGTGATAAAGTTAAGGGTGGGTAGGTTTCCATTTTTATTAACTTTCCATGTGTCTGAAACTTAAGTGGTTTTGAATTAGCTGTTTCTAAATTATATATACCATTTGTCTGCTTTGTCTGGAGGATAGTGCCCTAATCTCTCAATAGCAGGTAGATATTTTGAATAGTGATTTCACTATCCAATACTGACAACCACTTTGGCTCCTGCAGGCAAGGGTTAAAACATCAGTATTTGTTGGTGACATAACGCTATGCTTTGGTAATTTTACAATCTTACAAAGTGTTGCCACTCTCTTTGTATCCACTGGCCATCAAATTTTCCATCTGCATTTAGTTGAGCTTTCTAATTCCTAAACCCTCACAGAGATCAGAGTTAGTAACTCCTTTGTTCTGGTTGTGTTCTAGACACAATCCTGAGAGTTTGTTCATTAATTCTCCCAACATCATTAACAAGCGGATCCTATTATATGCTTTCAGGTGAGAATACCGAAGCTTCAGCTAATTAATAATGGCACTACACTGTTCCACATAAAGATTATATATGAGCATTTTAAAGATGATTAGGCTCTGATGGAACACCTGAGTGGAACAGTTTAAAATGCTGTTGAACTTTGCTAAATTCTCTTGGTAATATGTGTTTTGGTTTTCTCCACATTATTTGTGCATGTCAGTGTGCGTGCTCATCTTTCTTGCTGTGGTAATAAAGACAGAGACATGACTACAAGTTGATGTTAAATGTTATAAATTCTTAAGCATTTTAAATTCACTTTTGGTATGATGGATAACCCTTTGTTTTTTGTTTTTTGTTTCTTTAAAGTTCTTATTACCAGGAAATGGCGGTTATTGCAGTGTGTCTGACTACTTTTATAAAATTTCTTATTGCTTTGAAGTGATGTATTATTGGAGTAAAATTATCAGCTAGTATATCTGCAAATAGAATAACTTCAATAAGATTTGTGAAATGATAAGTCATCCCACGTCTAGTTCTCATAGCCATGTGAATTCTTTTTGGACTCTGGTAAAGGAGATATAGAGGTGAACAATTTAAATATTTATGGATTTCCTTTTATGCAAGCGGCTATCTTTATAGGGTAAACACTAAGTCCCTTTTACTGGAAACCAAAAGCTTTCAAGGTTTTCAAGATGTGTTTTAAAATGATTCAGCTGTTCACCTTAATTTAAAATTAAATTCCTTTTAGCAGAGTGAATTATTTCTGAGCCATGTGCTCACCAGGGACGCAGGTCCCGAGAGACTAAACACTGGTTTCTCAAGAAGATGACAGGGCCATTCTTAGTCACTTAGTACTGTTTCTTTGGTTCTTTACCCTATTTTTCCATGTCAAGATTTTTCCCTTCTCCTTTTATTCATTCATGAGTACTGGGTTTACCCCATATTCACCTTCCTTCAACTATCCCCATTCCCTTCTCTCCATTCCTCTTAACTCCATGGCTGCTTCTTTAATTATTATTGTTGTTGTATAACAATATGCATGTGTAAATACAACACAGTGGGTCCTTTTAGTGTTGGTTACCCATCCTTACATGTGTTTAGGACTGACTGCTTGTGGTTGGAAAACCTATCAGCCTGTCTCTGGAGAACACAGGTATTTTTCTCTCTCTCTTAGAAGCCATCAATTGCTCTTCATCTAAGAGTAGGGCTCTGTGAAATTTCTCCTGCCCAGGCTGGGATGTCAGCTGGATCTGTCTTTGTGCAGGTCTTTTAAGACACCAATTTGTTGAGATTTCATGAGGGCAATTGCCTGTAATGTATAGATGGCAAGTATCTTGTAGCTGACATTCTGGTCCTGCCAATCTTAAAATCTTGCTACCCCCTTTCCCGAGATGTGTTCTATGCCTTAGGTGTAGTACTTGTGTTGAAGATGCAGTGTTGGAGATGGAGCACTCCACCGTTAGTTATCTGCAGTGGGATGAGTTGGGGGTTTCTGTAACGGTTTCCCTGTTCAGGTGAGGGATGAGAACAAGTGAGGTCATAGACCCTAAAGAGGGTATGATCGCCGTGTCCCTAAACCAAGATAATTTCCAGTTGCCTTCTAAACACCTTTCTTTACAGCCACAGACCGTAGTTCTCCTGCTGTTACTTTTGTTAACCTCCCCTCTTCCTTTAGAATTCTTTCCTCTTATATGGTGTAGATTGTCAGACTCTTTTCATAAAACTAAACACCAACAGTGATCCTGTTAACTTTTTTCTCAAATCAAATATCTGTGACCTGTATGGAACTTAATATAAATGTTTCAGATCCATATCTGGTAGGATAGGTGTTATAACACGACAGTAACACCCATATTAAGACCCTTTGTGCAGTGTTCAGACCTAGTGAGGAGACACAGCTCTATACACTTGCATCAGCATGTTTGGAAGTGGGCTGAGGGGATACTTTTGATTTTTAGGGAATGTCTCTGATCAAGTGAGGCCTTACTACAACTCAGCAATGAATAATCATGATAATAGTAATGATGGCAATAATAATTCATTGTTTTGAAATAATCTGGATAAATCTTGATTGTGAATGTGTAAACTATGGCCTTGAGCTAAATCTGGCCTGGTGCATTTCTGTGTATAGAACTTCATAGTAGCACCCCGCTTCTATACCTATGTCTATAGTCAGTGTCTATTTCTGTTTCACAGTGGCAGAAATATGAAGTTGCAATATAGACCATAAAGGCTTCAAAGCCTAAAATACTCTATTAGTCCTTGACATGCATACCAGAAAGGTTGCCGACTTTCTTTAGATCATAGTGTCTTAAACTGTGGCTCATGATCCCATGTGAGGTATTATGAACATTTTGGCAAAAGTTAAATCAAAGTCAATCTTGTAACGAATGCAAGGTGTTTCTAAAAGCACTTCTCCAAGTCACATCACAAGAGTCACCGCAGTTTTGGGTCTGGGCACACTTGTGAACTTTGTACTGTGCTTGTCAGCCTTGCCTAAAAGAGATCAGCCCAGATATGTGACTGTCATATACTACAAATTGTAGTACTTTTAATTATATTAAAAATGTGGTCTTTAAAAGTTGGTGTTTTAATTAATGAGTTTAGTTTATTAAAATTGAGTAAATGAGTGTTGACTTGAGACTCAAATAGGATTTCCGAGTTTCTGAAATGTACCTAAACATATTCCTGCTACTATGTATTTTATTCAAACCAGTATCCTTGGCATTGAAGGGTAAATAAAAAGATTGGTCAACTCTGAAACACATGGTGTAGGATAAAACATTGCAACCTAAAATATTCAACCAAGATTTAATTCTTCATGTTAAAAACAAGAAGCATTTTATATTATGCTGATTTTCTTTAGTTTTTCATAAGTGGCAAATTTATATGATACCAAATTTTAAAATTTTTATTTACTTATTTGAGTGCTGTGTGTGTGTGTGTGTGTGTGTGTGTGTGTGTGTGTGTGTGTGTGTGTGTGTATACTCTCAAGAGTGTGTACTAGCTTGTACTTAACTACAAAAAACAGAAGGGGGTCATCCTCTGTTAATCTCTGCCTTTTAGACAGGGTTTCTCCCAGAACCTGGGGTCAGGCTGGAAATGCCATCAATCCTCCTGTCTCACCACTTTAAACTTGGAAGTTCAGGCATGCACAAGACACCTGACTTGTTTTGTGGGTGCTTGGTTGAACTCTGGTCCTAATTGTGAAGCAAGTGCTCTTTACAGCTAAATCACCCCTCCAGTCCCAATGAAATGTTTTAAAACATATTTCTTTATAATTTATTATCAGTAACTATTTAATTGATATGGCTATTTTATAAACCTATATATGTATTAAATTTGTATATATATATAATTCATATATATATATATATATAATTTCTCAAGTGAAAAGTGGCTACCATTACAAAATATTTAATAACTTCTGCTCTAGATGCTGGGTTTTATGTAAATCTATGTGTGTGGAAACAAAAGAAGGCTGGTCAGAATTAGCTAAGGGGACTTTTCAAGGTGCATACCACCTTGAAGTTAGTGAGGGTCACTAATTTAAAACTCAGGAACTTGACTAACTGATTCAGATTGCCATTTTTAAACCACTGTTTTGACAGTTTGACACAGACAACATGGAACTGATTATGTTGTTTCTTTTACAGGGTTGTGGGAAGAAAATGTATTCCTTTTTGAGAGGAACCAAACAATTGCAAGTGCTAAGGTTTCTGGGGATCTCCATTGGTGTGACACAAATCCTGGCCATGATTCTCACCATTACTCTGCTCTGGGCTCTATATTATGATAGAAGGGAGCCTGGGGCAGACCAGATGCTCTCTCTGAAGAATGATACTTCTCAGCACCTGTCATGTCACTCTGTGGAACTGTTCAAACCAAGCCTTTCCAGGATTTTTGAGCATACATCAATGGCAAACAGTTTCAATACACACTTTGAGATGGAGGAATTATGAAAAATGTCAAAGAAGGAAGTCACAACCCTGTGGCACTTGTGAGTTTGGGGGTACACAATTAACTGTTTCAGAAAATTTTAAACATAGGAATAGTCTACAGGTAAGTAGCAGGCTTTCTTGGGCCGCCAGCCCCAAACCATGACAAGGAGCCTTACTAGTTATGAATGCTCAGCCTTATACTTGTTCCACCAACTCTTGTAACTTAATTCAGCCTGTCTCTCTTCATCTACATTTTGCCTTGGGGCTTTTTGCCTATCATTCTGTACGTCCTACTTCTTTGTTATCTGGCTGGTGCCTGGCTGACCCCAGGCATTTCCCTCCTCTTCTCTCTCATTCGCTTCTATCTTGTTCTCTCTCAAGTCTAGATCCCTCCTCTTATCATCTCTGGCTGCCAGCCATGCTTACCCCTCTCCTGCCTAGCTATTGGCTGTTCAGCTTTTTGTTAGACCAATCAGGTGCCTTAGGCAGGCAAAGCAACACGTCTTTACACTGCTAAACAAATGCAACACAGACAGATACAACACATCTTCATGTAGTTAAAGTAATATTCCACAACAAAGGTTCCACATGTTAACACACAGACAATAATGCTTCAAAATGCTGAGGATAGTGATAATAACCACTGTGTATGTTTTCCTTTTTTTTTTTTTTTTTTTTTTTTTTTTTTTGAGGGCAATGTTGTTTTGAGGTGATGCAGTTTGACCAGCTGTTCTGCATCCTTTCATGGAAATGGACCACTCATGGTGGCATTGGAGCCACTGTGGAGGTTAACTACCTTCCTCTGGCTAGCCTATAAACTCAGCTGACTGCTAATGTAGGAATTTAGACAATACTAATGACCTTTATTATCTGATGATCTATTTTTTGAGGATGATTTGATTATATATTAAAAAAAAGCTTTCAAGATTGGTGACTACCTAAATAGGTTTTTTTTTTTTTTTTTTTTTTGTTGCTTACTAAAATAATCTTATTAACACTTGTAAGAGCTAACACATTGTCTTAAACTTATCAGGGATATATATGTATATAAGTCTGTGCTATGTCTGTATAATTCAGTAGGTTTCAGTTCTTATAATGTTATGGATAACAATATTTGAAGATGATGAATTTGTCTTATATAGCACTATTACTTTTTGTATTTCCCACCAAAAGAACTTTTAAATTCTGTCTTGGATCTGTATTACATCTGTAACTGTTAATTTAAGTTCTTAACCACTAATTTTGGAAATTACTGGTGTGATACATAAGAACCATTGTAACTCTGGCTGCAGGAAGTATTAACTACGGAATTTACACATAGTTGAGTCAGCAGAAATTCAGATGCTTTTTTTCCTCCCAAATAGGACTTTTCTTGACAGTAAATACTTTGTCAAAGAGCTTAGGTTTTCCTTTCGTAAAATAGAAGCAACAGTATTGAAGTCAATGTAATTTTTTGGAGAAACAACATTATCTGCAATGATAGACTAACTAGAAGGAACTTTTGCTTTATTTCACCAATTAATATACGGTGGCAAATTACACAGGATATTAATTTTCTTTACAGAAGTAGAAGATATTTATTTGAAATGGGAAAAAGTGCATTTTACTGTATTTTGTGTATTGTGTTTATTTTTTGGATTATGGAAAGAAAATGAATACAGGTGTCAATAAATATTTTCTAGATCATGATGGTTTGAGTGTATTTACTTTTAAGACAAGGTCTCACTAGGTAGCTCTTGGATGTGCTCCCATTTCTGGACACAATAAGCACTTTTATCAGTGCAGAGGCTAGCAAGAGGGAGATGAGAACGGGAGAAGCTGGCATGCAGAGAGGCCAGCATGATTGGAACTGATACAGCTCACAGTCCTAGGTCTAGGACGTGTTTCTCAAGATTCTCTGCCGTACCACCTTCAGGGACTTCTGAAGTAGAGCATTGGGTTGAGTTGAAGCACACGCTTGAGGGCATCCTCAGGTGGTCACCTAAAGACCAACGACTGTGTAAGGAGGAACAGAGTGTCTCAATGTGGGTGTCTTTAGGTGAGAACACAGCCGCAGGCCCCAGCCACAGAGGGCATGGCCTTGTATGCAGGTAACACCTTCAAAGCCCTGTGCTTATAGCCCTTCTGGAGCTTTCTGTGATGAAGCTTCAGGACTCAGGAGGCAGCATCATGAGAAAGCTGTGCAGCGGGGGCCCCAGACCCAGCCACAGATGCCCACTCCTTCCTGTAAAGGGAATTAGAGTGTCCGGTGTCCGCCTCTTTGTCTGCATCCTGTGCCATAGCAGGCAGGCATTAATGTCTGTAGAAGGGGCCCGACTCCATTTCTTTTGAGGCTCTCACTTGCCAAGGTATTGTAGTGCTGTCCAGTTTAGTACTTGGCACAGCTGCTCCTCAAAGCAACCACTGGGACCTTGGTTGCCCCGAAGATCAAGCTATTTGTGCTCACTAGATAGCTACAAAAAGAAGAGAGGGCTGAAAAGCAAGTCTTGGGTCATTTGTTTTGTTTCAAGCCTTCCTAGCTAAGGGCCAAAGGCCAGAAGCAGAACAGGTTTTGTGAGGCCTTCATATGTCTCAGGTGATCAGGGTAAAAAATAAGTCTTCCATATTTTTTTCTTTTGCACACATAAGGGTGCAGGGGGGGGGTAGGGTGTGCTACAAAGTATAAAATATACAGACCTCTCTTTCAAATAATTGGATACAATATTACTAATTTTCAAACTCAGTAACTAATATGTAAACTGCACCTTAAAGGGGGTGTCTTTATTTTTTCAAGCTCATATTTTAGCTAAGTGACAGTGTAATTTGATATAATAAATATGCTCATTTCTGTTAGTTTATCTTCTCGGTGCTTTCATATTGAAGATTTTGTTATTAATTTGTAGAAAGAATAAGAGTTGTTGTTGAATTGCTACATGCCTGTAATCTCAACTCCTTGGAGGGCAGTTGCAGGAAGACCATTTAAGCCCAGGAGTTCAAGGCCAGACTAGGCAGCAAAGAGAGACTCTTGCTTTTTGGCGGGAATGAGAGGAAGAGAAACAGAATATGAAGGTATACAGGATGAAACCTCGACAAATCACTTCCTCAGACGTCACCTATGACACCCAAAAATTTTAACAAAGCTATGCATTTCACTTGAATTATTTAGATAGCTGTTAAGTCTGGTTGCATCCCTTTGGATGTATCTGACAGTCATATAACATGCTAATGTTATACTGAGCTTACGGAGCAAACACCAGTCTTTAAATTATAGGAATTGACTTTTTAAAACAGGTATTTGATATATTACCAGATTTAGTACCCTCTAGAATAGTCACCATAAATTTAGACAATCCTCTTCTATATAATACATTGGCTTAATGGGAACAAATGACATTTATAGCCGTGGTCCACAAAGGCTTCTTATGGTAGCATTGCACCTGGAATAATAAAACTGCAAGAAACTTTACAAAGTGCATTTAATACTAAGGAGCTGAGGGACTACTCTGTTTGGGTACAGTGGGGGAAAAACTGTTAACTGTGTCTTTGGGAACTTTTAAAAGCTTTCTTGGGGGGGGTTAAAATCACAAGTTTTAGAGTAAAAAAAAAAAAAAAGATTATTTTTGGATTGGTTAACAGGCAATTCAAAGCACTCCTGAGACTCGGAGAAGGCAATTAGAGATGATGCTTGTTAGAAAGCCTGTAAAACCTGGGTTAGAGATGCTCGCGGTAGCCCCAGGAAAAGTAAATAAGGGAGAACCCAGTGAGTGTGGCCATCCTGAGCGAGGAGAGGAGCAAAGTGGGATGAAGGCGGTTCCACCCTGGAAATGGTCCTCAAGCAAGCAGAGGTGAGGAGGAGGAGTAGAACTCACCCCGCTCTTTGCAGCATCCCGCGAGTCAAGTCTGTTTAAATAACTGCATGTGATTTTGAGGCTGTGACCTGGGGTGCAGTCCGACTACACAGCACAGAATGCTGGAAGGAACAACCCGGGAAAGGAAGTGGGTGAAATGTGGGCTTGGGGCTTCATTCTGTATTCCCATGGTAAGCTGCTGACGTAATTTCAGAACAGGAAGTGTGTGACTCAGAACTTCCACTGTTTTATCCGATCAAGAGGGATGGGGCCCTGGGGAACAGGTGCAGTCCCTGGGGACATGGCATGCTTGGGTCTGCTGAAATGGAGATCTCTGGAGCTTCAACTCTGCAGACTCCGGGCAAAGCGCAGAGAAACTTTTCCTGGGCTTGTGGAGAGAAAGATCCTCACCAGGAAGACGGAAGTCAAGGAACAGAGTGTGTAAAACAGACTAGACTACTGCAGTGTGAATCTGTGCAAGTTAGCAGCAGGTTGACTTTAGGGTTATGGGATAGAAAATAAAAGGACTAACATTTCTATATTTTGTACATGGTAAGTTGGCAGTCGTGTTAACCTAGATAGGCTGGAGACTGAGAGTGTGGAGGGTAATTAATTTGGTTTGGGATGTACTGAGTTGGAGATGCCTGCAGGACATTCAGATGGAGAAGTCTATGGGCAGCTGTAAATTTGTCTGCCACTGAGGAGAACTCACTGTGGAGCCTGAGAATTTTTATGCATTGCTTTCCCATTTCAGGAAGCCTGACAGAAAACGGGCTGAGGACCAAATCTCATGAAGAGAATCTTAAACAGGGAGCTACAACAGCTCCTCTTTGTCTGACCTCCTATTCTTACACATGTGTCAGAGGAGGTAAAGAAACAAGAAATAAACAAGCTACTGAGTCTTCAATGACAAAGGAGCCCGCCTCCCTTAAAAAAAAAATATACTTCCAGCTGCCATGTTGGTCAGTTACCCACACTCATTCATTCCTATGATCCTGTGATTTAAAAGTGCTGCTTCCTTTCCTAAAAAGAGAGTTCTTACCCAAACAAATCCCATAAGCACATATAGAAGAATCTCGAACATCACCTTGAATGCTCTTTGCCATTTTAATATGGTAATTGTAGGCGTCTGTGCATTCATTCATGGGAGCCTCAAAGTGGTAGGCACAGCCTGCAAGGTTCCAGATACATATTTCCTCCGTTCTCCA